CGCTTGGCAAGGGAGCTGTCAGCGAGGTTGGTTGCCTCTTGCTTGTTTACTGCCTGTGCAACCTGGAGAAGACGTCCATCGAGTGTGTACTTGCCATCAGGATCAGCACTCTCATCTTGGAGGATAGAGTTCTTGGCAGCTGCAAGAGATGGGTCAGGGCGAGGAGCGCCCTTGATACACTTTTTGGCGTCGGCGACGTCGTAGAAGCAGACGAAGCCAGTACCAGCAGGTTTCTCCGTGACCTTGTCCATGACCACTCGGGCGTATCGAACCTTGCCAAAATGATCAAAGAAATCTTTGAGTTGTTCATCTGTGGTCGTAAATGGTAGGTTGCGAATAAAGAGAGTTGAAGTGTTATCTGTCATCCTCTTCGGAGCCAGGCTCTGCACCTCCTTCTCAGCCTGCTTGTCGGCTTCATCATCTTCGTCGTCCTCTTCTTCTTCATCATCCTCCTCATCCTCGAGGTTCTCCATGTGATTCTTGAAAAAGTTCTTCAGATCAGCATCCAATTGATCATCTCTGTTAACCTCTGCTCCGCCCTCCTCTTCATCCTCATCATTGCTTCCCTCTGAAGACGTTTGGTCATCCTCGTCTTCCTCATCAACTTGCTGCTTCTTTGGTGCCTTCTTAGGCTTCGCCTCCCCCTTTGGTTGTTGCTTCTCCCAAGTATCCTTGTCAACAGCCCAGTCAACAGCCAGGGTTCTTCCATCAATCTCCTTGCCGTTGATGGCTTCTAATGCACGTTCCGCATTCGGTCTTCCCCTGAGGGTAACGAAACCGAATCCTTTGAGCTTGCCCTTATCTTGAGGCAGATCGGCAAACTTAACTTTTCCAAAGCTTCTGAAAAGATGGCTCAATTGTTCCGATGTCTTAATGCTCCAAGGCAGGTTGCGCACAATGAGCTTTGGGGGTCGCTGATGCTCCTCCTTGCGAACCTTGTGAGCAGGCAATTCTCCGGTAGTATTGTTTCTTTGTCTTGGCTCAGCAACATCGATGCGGATTCGGCGTCCATTCCAATCTTGGTTGTTCAGAGCTTTCTTGGCCTCTACAGCGTCCTCAGCGTCGGCCAATGTGACGAAACCATAACCTCTTGACTCCTTGGTCTTTTGGTCAACAACAACAGTAGCGTGCTTCACTGGGTAATGCTGAGAGAAGAAATCGGTAAGACTTTCGCTCGTGGCACCGGGAGGTAGTGATCGAACGAAGAGCGACCTTCGATCTTCGACTCGGGCTCTCTTGGAGGCCTTTACCGCTCCATTGTCGCGGTCTTCGAAAGAGGCAGGATCGAGAGTCTCTGCCTCAGTATGAGGGCGCTTTCGGTCGTTCTTTGATGCACCCATGTTTTCTGTATGGTTGTGCAAAATGGTTACGATTCAGGGAATAAAGTAGAATAGAGGCTTTGCGACCAGCGAAAAAAAAAGTTCGATAAGGTCTTATCGATGGGAAAGTTCTGGGAAGGTACGTACTGCACCTGCCGCTGCATTAAAGTGGAACAATTCAGCCCCTCAGTCCCTCGTTGCGACTAAGCCGTAAGGGGAATACTGGTAAACAAACAATGCGAAACCTCCTTGGGCAACTATCAACATTGCTCTCTCAACAACAGTCAATGGACTAAAGCGACACTCGAAAAATGCCTGCAAGAACTACCGCCCGTTCTTCGAGGACGTCAGCTACGCGAAGCTCTGCTGCGTCCCGTACCTCCCCAGTCGCTGAACCAGTTGATACCCCTGATAACGCTCTCCGAACCAAAGTATGTGCTGTCTTTCGTGATGCACAGAGAACTACGGCAACACACCGAAAGCTTGTCGTGAATCTACGAAAGATCCAGGAGTCTTGCGCTTATGAGCCAACAAACCCCGACCAATCTCAAGCAGATGATTTCGACGAGGATGCTTTTAATCACGAATTTATACGATGCGTCATCAAAATCATGCCAATCAAGAAGTCGGAGAGTGTGGGAGAAAAGTCAATCAAATTCACCGGCCTCTTTCTGCAGCACGCAAGTGCAAAAGACAATGAACTTCTAGGAGAGATCGACCAAGATGCAAGTGTCATGCCAGAGACTCCAAGCACTCGCCTGACCTCACAACTTCTCGAAGCCATTCTTCCTCTTCTGACCGCCAAGGATAAGGTGGTTCGCTTCAGGTCGACACAGCTCATTTCTCACATTATCAATTCGCTCGACGCGATAGACGACGATCTCTTCCAGAAACTGCGCCATGGGCTACTTAAGAGGATCCGAGACAAGGAGGCCATGGTCCGCTCTCAAGCGGTGCTGGGTCTTGGCCGTCTTGCAGGCAATCAGACGGAGGGTTGCACCAATTCGGATGATAGCGACGATGACGATACTGGACTGCTCGAGAAGCTGTTGGAGGTTCTACAGAACGACCCTAATGCTGATGTGCGAAGATCGCTCCTCGTCAACCTTCCCATCTTACCCGAGACTTTGTCAGTCCTTCTTGAGCGCGCCCGTGATCAAGATGCAGCAACTCGAAGGGCTGTTTATTCCAGGCTCCTCCCTGCCCTAGGTGATTTCCGCCACTTGTCTGTTAAAATGCGAGAGAAGCTCCTTCGCTGGGGTATCCGTGACAGAGACGAGAACGTCCGAAAAGCTGCAAGCAGACTGTTCCGTGAGCGATGGATTGAGGATTGCGCGGGTGCACCCCCCCAAGAGGATGGCGTACCTGCAGAACCAGCACCCCCCAACTTTGACGGCCTCCTTGAACTGCTAGAGCGAATCGACGTGATCAACACTGGCGTTGAAAACGGCGTTGCACTAGAGGCCATGAAAGGCTTCTGGGAGGGGCGCCCGGACTACCGTGAGACAGTAGAGTTCAATGATCACTTTTGGGAGACCCTATCCGCCGAATCTGTCTTCATGGCCAGGAGTTTCAATGATTTCTGCCGTCTTGAAGGCGATGGCAAGTACCTGAACCTCTTGGAAGAAAAGCTCCCTGAGGTCACCAAGCTCGCTTTCTTCTTGGAACGATACCTACACGTCCTGACTGCTGCCGTTAAGAGGGTAGCAGAAGCAGACGACGAAGATGAAGAAGAAGACACGGTAGAGCAGGAGTTTATTGTTGAACAATTACTCCAAATTGCACTGACCCTTGACTACTCTGACGAGGTTGGACGACGTAAGATGTTCACCCTGCTTCGACAGGCTATTTCGATTCCCGATTTACCAGACGAGGTGACAAAGCTCGCTGTTGAGACGCTTCAGAGTATCTGTTCTCCAGATGCTGCCGGAGAGCGAGAATTCATAAGCATTGTCCTAGAGTCAGTGGCAGATGTTCATGACACCATTGTCGACGACCCTCCTGCAGATGATGCAGAAGACAGTTTCCATTCAGCCAGATCAGAGGTTAGCGGCCAGAGCACGCCAACTAAGGGAAGCAAGCGAGGTGGTAGCCCTGAATTGACTGAGGAAGAAGCGCGCGAGAAGGCAGTGAGAGAGATTGTTGTCAACATGAAGTGCTTGCATATCGTTCAGTGCATGCTCACCCATGTGGCAAGCAACCTCCAGGACAACACCGATCTTGTGGCGATGTTGAATAACCTCGTTGTCCCAGCAGTCCGAAGTCACGAGGCGCCCGTACGTGAGCGAGGCCTGGTTTGTCTTGGCCTTTGTGCCTTGCAAGATCGCTCACTTGCCGAGGAGAATCTTAGCTTGTTCATGCATTTTTTCACCAAGGGTCACACAGCACTCCAGATCACTGCTCTGCACATTCTCACCGATATCCTCAATGTTCATGGCGCCCAGCTCTTATCGTCAACACCTGGCCTGCTGAAGATTTACGTCAAAGCTGTCAAGGGTGGTGGCAAGTCACCTGAGGTCCAGGCGGCTGCTACTGTTGCCGCCTCAAAGCTGCTGCTTGGCCGTGTCGTCAGTGAGGAGGAGGCCTGCCAGGATCTGCTCAAGTCACTCGTCGTCGCGTACTTTGACCCCTCGTCTGCATCCAACCAGACCGTTCGACAGGCACTCAACTACTTCCTCCCTGTCTTCTGCTTTTCCCGAGAAGAGAACCAGAACCTCATGCGGTCCATCGCCCTTGACGCAATCCATGCTCTATTCAATGTTCGCGAAAGCCTGGAGGACGATGATGTGGATGTTGAGGAAGATATGGTCAGCATGACTACCATCGGAGCTTGCCTCGTCGACTGGACCGATCCCCGAAAATGCTACAGATCTACAAACCTGCTGGAATCTGATAAGAAGGCGGTCAATGGTGACGTGCATCTTGACTTTGCCATGGATATCCTAGAGAAATTACAAGGCAACATCACTAGTGAGTTAACAACTTGCATTGACAATTACGCATACTGACCCATCTACAGAAGAAGAAAAGAAACTCATCGGCACTCTTCTTGGAAAGCTACACATTTCCCCTGGATCAAACGAGGAGAAGCTGCGTGAGGCTTACAATGAGGTTAGCATTGCAGTGGAAGAGGGCTTACTGTCTGATGCCACTAGCCGCAGCGCACTCTTCAAGCTTCATGTCAGTTTGGGCAAGATCGTGAATGCCCTCGATGAACAACAACCAGCCCACCGACGTACCAGCAGGAGTACCTCGGTGATTACGGATCATCCATCTCCTGAGGAAGAGAAGACAGTCATGGAGGAGCCAAGCATTAAGGAGGAGGATGAAGAAAGTGATGACACTGTGGTTCCTAAGGAAGAAAAGGGCGAACGAGAATCTCTTGTGGACGACCTGTTGTCAGATGGCGAGGATGTAGAGATGACAGACGCGTAAGAGACAAAGATTGATGAAGTAATGACATGGGACCTGGATGGTTTGGTGTATCGTGATGGTTGGACGGATGCCATGGGTTCGTTATGGAGGGAACTTGGTTTTGGCGACGTGTTCTTGATTTACTATTGTTTCTAAATTTTGATGTTTTTATCCACGAATTCCTGGTTAGATACCCGGAGTCATGCTTATACAAAGCTCTCAGATATTCATACATGAAGATACCCATTACTGAGAAGCCAAATGGTGCTAGTTACGCGACCCCAACCAAAATAGGAGACCACCGAAGCCAATGTTGATCAACAAGTGTTGACCGAGACTCCAGGCCATACAGTAGAGATACTTGGGCGAGAAAACTGTCCAAATAAACAGATGAGTTCTCAGTGAAGTGCAAGCTGCCATGACCAATGAAACTGTCGCAGAGACAAAGACAGTCTGCAAAGTAATGTATTGCCAGAAGGCATTGCGCTGACCGTCGTGGTACTTGCGCAGTAGGAGAAGGTTGGTGGCAGATGTCCAGAAGATTGGCCCAGCCCAGTTGCTGACCAAAGTGAGAAAACCAACGGCAAAGAAATTGAAGCCACTGATACCGTTGTATGCGCTGGAAAGATCGACGGAGGAGATGGCGTTCGAGCCACCAAAGGCGAAGAATGTTGTGTATTGAAGAAGAATAGCTGTGATGGTGATTCCAGTCACGGAGAGGTCGGTGGCTTGGAGTGCTTGGAAGAGGATATCAGACAATAGAAAGAGGGGAATGTTTGCAGCACGAGACTGGGTCATGCCAAAGATGGTATAGAGATGGTGGAAAAGATATGCTGTAATGTGTCAGTGGCTGTAGTGCAAATATGGTGCATGAGAGACGTTACCTGACTGCAACTGGCCATTTCGACCGCCGGTGAACGACCGATAGATGCCATATCCAAACAAGACGCCAAGAAGAATAAAGGCAGTCCTGGCCCTCCAAAGCAATGACTGGCCCACGAACATGTCGTTAAAGCTTCTAGCAAAGCCAACAACAAGCTCCGGGGCATCCTCGCTCGTAAAGTCAAGCTTGAAGCTATACGCAGACATGAGCAGAACTGAGGTAGCACCTGTGCTAGCCAGAGAAGGGAGGCTCTTCAGACGGGCAAGCAAGCGGAATGACATGAGAATGTATCCAAAAGTGATAATAGCCCAGAGAAGTTGAGGGTGCGTGACGACGAAGCTCTTCACGATGTCAGGACTTCCAGCAAACTTCTGGCCAGTCTGATTCCAGCCCCTGGTGAGTCTCAAAGCCACGAGTGCAACGAAGACCCAAGCGATGCTGGTAAGGCTGTTTCTCCTAGGATCTTGGTTAGTATGAGAAGCTAATTCTGTACTCGACTATCGCATACCTTCGGATATGAAGCACTCCTTGTGTTACAAGCCAAATGCTAGATGACCAGTACCAAAAGTGCTGTTCCTCTTCGACGTAGCTACTCGCATACATCATGGCGCCGTAGGATAAGGTCATGAGGCTGAATGGAAGAACTTGTCCATCTCGATGAGTCCCAAGACTGACAAGAACAACTGTGCTTGCAATAGCGGCAACAGCAGCGATCGCTTGGCCGATGTAAAGCTTAGGCATGTCGTAGTTTGAAGCCATGCTACTCATGAGATCTTGGGCTCGACGGAGCCACTGTGACATGTCATCAAGCCACTTTTGGTCCAGCTTGTCACCAGCTGCGAGTACATGTGCCTCCTTGTTGATCCTTCGCCATTGACATGCCAGTTCGTTGATCTCGGTCTGCTCAAGAGCACAGGGGTCAACGCTACTCGGTGCGTGAAAGAGCTCACTTCCAAAAGCGGCTGTGACAATGTTGAGGATTTGTCTAGCATTTCGAACTAGAATTTGAATCTGATCACTGGTATTGTGCCAGAAGGGGAGGAAATCAGGGATGAAGGCTCCCAGATTGTTCTTGGATACCGGGAAACCCAGAAGGGCGGCAATAGTAGGCGCCAAGTCAGATTGCTCGACCATGGAGTAGTAATCAAACTCATCCTTGGGTTGAGCTGGGGCAGAAAGCTTTTGAGAGACCTTCTTCAGTTTTGGGGACATGAAAACCAAGGCGGGTGAGGTTTCGCCGGGTGAAGAAGCACCATGGTTACCAGCATCGTTCATGCCATGATCACCGCAAAGGACGAGGAGTGTCGAGTCCAAATGAGGCTTGGACTCCATGGCTTCGAAAAGGGTCTTAACAATACCGTCCATTTCGCGCTGCTTGGGAAACATATTCGAGCTTTTGACGTGTTAGTGAACTGATAGGAGAAACAGCCTCCAGTGAAACAAACCTCTTTGGTCCAGCCTTATGCCCGATATGATCCAGACCAAGATAATGAAGCACCATAAGACCCCAATCATTGTTCTCAAGTTCAGGGGCAATGTTTCTGGTGACATTATTGTCAACCTCTGTGAAGTCCTAGTAAGATATCAGTCAGGGTTGAACATGAGAATCATGTGTCAAGTCACAAACCGCCACAAAGAAGCTGGAAGTTCCATCTTCGCGATCGAAAGTGTTGGGAAACAGCTTCAGCCAAGTGTCATCGCCGTACATGAGAAGCTTGCCCATGCCCTTGGCTTTAATCTGAGCCAACCAAGTATCTTGAGAAGCGAGTGTGGACGAAGTATCTGCCTCGTCGAAGTTCAAAATGAGATCAACAAACGAAGGAATTGAACCGGTTGTCATGGACTTGATTCTGGGCATAGTAACTGTGGGTGATCGAGCATTGGCTGTAAAAGGCATTGCGCTGCCATCTCGGATGAGACTGGAATTTGATAAGCACAAGTATTTATGAGATGAATTACAATTGATATGAAATACCTTTGAACATAATCAAATCCCGAGGCGTCCGAGTACACAAAGTCGCTACAAGAAAGGTCAATTGAGAGTTCAGAATGAGATAGCAGGGTTCATTAAAGCTCTACCTTCTGAGGGCATCGACAACCATAAATATTAAACGATCAAATGGCGCATCAGGAGGCGATCCAAATTCAAGAGACTCGAATTCAGCCAATCCAGGAAGAAAGGGTTTATATGGGAAGAAGCCCAGCGCAAAGACGACAATTGAGACCGGGATTAAAAGATTGGCTGCGACAAGCAACAGAGTGCGCAGTAACGAGCCATTCTGAGAGGACACCATTATAAGAGACAATTAAAGAATAGTACAAAGGAGTGACTAAGACGAGGTTGATTATCGTATTTATACAGAAAATAACCCGTCAATAATGCGCCATCATTATATGGAACAATTAAAAATGTGTCAGCTGTAGAAGTGATGGACGTGTCGAGATGAGAGCGCGACAACCTATACGATAGCCTTGCCAAGACGAACCAAAGAGGTGGTGGTTGAAGGCGGTAGCGTGATTGGCTGCTCAACTCGAATTGGATGTTGAGCCACACAAGGCTGAGGGGCAAATCTAGATGGAAATTTCGGGTATCACAGATTCAGATTGATTTAGATTTTGCTGCTAAACGCCGATGAATGGATAGAAACCCCCAGAATAAAGACCAGAAAACAATTTTACCCCAAGTTCGGTTTAAGAGCTCTTCTTCTTGCTCTTGGATCGACTACCGTAAGACTTGAAGACAATCTTGGAAGCCTTTTGCTTGCGCTTGTCGACTCGCTTCTTCTCAATACGACCACTGGAAGGCTTCTTTGAGTCCACATCCATTGCTAGACATGGCTGGTTAGTGAAAATGAATGAGACAGACAGGCGGTTTTGTCCAAACTCACATGTGGCTTCATTGTCTTGAACATCCTCCTTGACATCATCGTTGGCGTCTTCTTCTTGTGCTGAGAATTGGTATGTTAGCGAGCAGTCGTCTTTGAGGTTGTAGTGTACCATGTCACTCACTGTTCATGTTCACATCTGAGGACTCAGGCTTGGGCTGCTTGGCCAACTCAAGGAGCTTAGCAGAGAGACGCTCATTTCGAGCAGCCTCAGCAGGACCAAAAACATTTTTGACAAGGCGCCTGTTGTTGGCCTTTCTGGTGCTTGCTCGTGCGCTCTTTGCCATTTTTGTCGATATGGTTGAAGATGGATGCTTGAGTAAAAGTCGTTATCAAAGTCCCCTGCTGCTAAGAAAAAAAAGTTGGGACAAGCTATCAAGGGGCAGTAGTGAGTTTAGTTGTGGCGGTGTGTGGCTAGTAGACTAAAGCAGAGATCAACAGAGACAGACGCCGGATCCCAGTCCACTCCCTGCATCTGCCAGGGATGACCGCCTGCTCTTGTTGGACTCGTGTGCGACAACACTCTAAAGACTGGGCAAACATGACATACCTAGCGTGAGAGGACCCGACGACGACGAGTTTAAGTTAGAGCACGCGTGGTGGTTGAGATAGTCGATCGAATTCTCATTATTCAGAGTCAGTCAGAGTGGAGGGCTCATTAACTTAACCTTTTATAATCCGATTGTACATTTGTCTTCCAGATGTAACTTTTATCTCGCTTCCACTCGTTCACTCAGCCACTCACTCACTCGTACCTATTCTCACGGTACCTCGCCATTTTCCCATTCATCCCGTCCCGTCCAGTCAGTCTGCCACAACCAAATACCTCCCTCTACAGGCTGCACCCGATCAGCCTGCGCATCTGCCTTGGATGCCGTTGCGCGACTTCCACTACCACTGTTCGCGCCCAACTCTGGCAGCACCTTCCTCCACACATAATCTCCCTCGAAAACGATAACGACACCTTCCCTCGGCCCAAAAACGCAAATATTAGCGACCGATAAACGGAAGGAACGACCGACCCCTTCGAGGCTTCGACTCGACATGGCTTCCGCAGGCTTTGGGTCCGCTACGGCTGCACCCTCGCACTCAACAACTGCACACGCAAATCTTCGATCAGAAGCGAGTTCTCTTGCGCGACAAGTTAATCGCTTGTTAAATCGCCAACTCTCTTCTGTGTGTCAAGTCAACGGAGTCAAGAGTACTGGCATCAAGGCTGAGCTGCAGCGTCGCATACATAATCGTGAGTCTAGGACCTGCTCATACACAATTCACTCTTGTTTTCGTCTGCACTGCGCGATGGCTTCATCTCTCTTTCGCATGCTTGTTCGGCCGTGAATCACTGCTTCAAAACTCCTCAATATCATAGCTAACCATGCCCTCTTCGCCACCAGTCATCCAAGAAGCCGTCAACGCCAACGATCCCGTGCGCCTACAGCAGATTCGCCAGAGCGTGCACAATTCCATCTCGAGCTCTCAGACCGGATCCTCGCCCTCTCGGTCCAACTACCCGATTTCACATGGTCATGCTTCCTCAACACCTTTCGGATTGCACAGCATGTCGTTCCCTAGCACACACGGCAGCCTATCTAATGGTCAGCGCTCTGTGGTCAACTTCAGCTCGTCAGTGTCCCTCACCTTCAAACCGAGCCCGTTTTATCAGATCGAGGCGGTTGCTGGTGAGATAAAGACCTGTGATGGTATGTTTGCGCGTCGTGGTGTGTACCTTGTCCGACTTGTTCATTCTAACGCCCCTGTCCAGTCATGTCGCAGCACCGTAACACCATTACCTATCCCATCAGACTAGACGATCATCCTGCCTTACAGAAGTGCGTTAACGACCCTTCGTACCGAGTGATGGTCTTTTGCGCCGGAGACACTTTGGGAATTCAAGATGTCGCATTTCCTCACCAGTCAGAGCTTAAGGTGAACGGCGGCGAGGTCAAGGCCAATTTGCGCGGCTTGAAGAACAAACCTGGATCTACTAGACCGGTTGACATCACAAAAGCGCTTCGTCTTCGTCCGAAATATACCAACAACGTTGAGTTCACATACGCGCTGACATCCAAGGTGAGCATTATGCACAAGCGTTGTTACAATCATAGTCTGACACCGAATACAGAATTTCTACCTTGTGATAAATGTTTGCAAGATAACATCTGTCGAACAGCTTGCGGAGCGCATTGCCAATGGCAAGAAGATATCGATTGAATCTGTAAAGCAAGAACGTATGTGCCACTCATGACTTATCCAGTACTCCTGAGCCATGACTGATATGCAATTAGTCAACGCCAAAGCACAAGATCCAGATGTGGTAGCAACTTCACAGGTGCTATCTCTCAAATGCCCGTTGTCATACATGCGATTAGCACTCCCTTGCCGTGGCTTGAGCTGCACACACTTGCAATGTTTTGATGCCACTTCTTATCTTCAACTGCAAGAACAAGGCCCGCAATGGCAATGTCCTATTTGCAACAAGTCCGCAACTTTTGAGCAGTTGGCTGTCGATGCGTAAGTTTATCAGCAATGACTATAAAGGGCCTTTCTTTTCTAACCTCGAGCAGTTATGTCAAAGACATCCTGGAAAAAACACCAAAGAGTCAGGAAACTGTGACCATCGAACCCAATGGCGAATGGCATCTCAAGAGCACAGATGACAGTAGTCAAGGGCACACGAATGGAAACTCATCTTACGCAAATGCATTTGATGATGACGACGACGACCTGGTAATATCAGAGGTCAATTCTATTGGCCACCGCCGTTTAGAGACGCCCAAAATCTCTACACCGATCAGTACGCCAGTGACAGCAGGTCGCGATGTGTCGTCTTCTGCTGGACCGAGAGGCGTAGCGTCTACCAGCGCGAAGCGCCCAGTGGCCGCTGTCATCGACCTAACGCTATCTGACGATGATGATGATGATCCGCCTCCGCCCCCAAAAAGGCAAAACACGTCGATGAACGGATTCTCAGGCAACTTACCCAACAACTCTCCAATCTCGCCAGGTGATCTCGGGTATCTTTAGGGGGATGCTCGTCCTCAGGGACGCAAGAAACATAGACGGAATCGTAAGACTCTTTAAAATGAGTTTATGGTGACAGTGAAATATGTCACAGGGGGCAGCCCATATAGCTGCTTGATATTACGGGTGTTGGTTGATGACTTTTACTTTGGCATGTTCTGAACCGGCGTTGGAGGAGACGGAAAATGATTCCCCTGCTAATTACCGGCATTGCTATCACGGTTGTTTTTCGCGAGGTGTAAGGGAGTATTCAAAAGAAAGGGGATCAGTCGTTCAGGGGTAATTTACTTTAAGAGACAGGGTCTAGTCTCAAACATAACAGGAGGCAATAGAAAGACAAGTAACCTCTTCCACATGTTCTCATTCCAAATAGGAGCGTCATGGAAAGCAAAGAGTACAAAGTTTGATGATTGTCTAAGTCGCGAACCAATGTTGTGACGATGAAGTCACAAATTGCAAATTTTTTCACAGGAAAACGCGAGTTTCAGAAACGCATAAATCATTTTTCATTCATGTGTATTGGCCAAAGAGAAATATCATCTCGAACATGCCTTCTATCTCACCCTCAAATCATCACATTCAACTCTGATTTAAACCAAATTCCTATCCCATCATGACCCAATTGACTCCATAAATCACACATATACTTTTTTGTTATCGCTTTACCAAATTACGCTCCAATGTCCTTCCTCTTGCTAGGCACAGCAGTCTCAGCCTTCCACGAGTCAACGTTGTGGATCAAGCAAGCCTCGCCTTGGTCACGGCGGGTGAGACGGCCGATGCGGTACACCTTCTCACCAGCATCCGTAAGAGCCTGAGAAACGCTGTCGGCCTTTGCAGGGTCAACAGCAATGACCATACCGACACCAGAGTTGAAGGTGCGGCACATCTCGATGGGCTCGACGTTGCCAGCCTCGCGCATCCACTTGAATACAGGAGGAATCTCCCACGAGCCAAACTCGATTTCAGCAGCGAGAGATTCGGGGATCATGCGGGGAACGTTCTCGACGAGGCCGCCACCGGTGATGTGAGCAAGACCCTTGATGTGTGAGAGGACGGGCAGAAGAGACTTGACGTAAATTCGTGTAGGGGTGAGAAGGGACTCGCCAACAGTGGTGGACTGGTCCCAAGGAGCAGGGTCAGTGTAGCTGAGGCCAGCGCGAGAGACAATGCGACGAGCCAGGGAGAAACCGTTGGAGTGGGCGCCAGCGGAGCCAAGACCGAGGAGGACATCGTCTTGAGCCATGTCATCCTTGCGAGGAAGCTTGATATCAGCAGTAACGGTACCGACAGCACAACCAGCAGCGTCGTAATCATCGTTCTGGTACATACCAGGCATCTCAGCAGTCTCACCACCAACAAGGGCACAGCCAGCTTGTCGGCAACCATCAGCAACACCCTGAACGAAGTCAGCAGCAGTAGAGAGGTCCAACTTGCTGCAGCCGTAGTAATCGAGGAACATGACAGGGGTAGCACCCTGAACAACAAGGTCGTTGACATTCATGGCAACCAGATCGATACCAACTGTGTCGTGCTTCTTCATTGCCTGGGCAATCATGAGCTTGGTGCCAACGCCGTCAATAGCACCAACGATAATGGGAGCTTGAGGGTAGCCAGCTTGAGACAGATCAACCTCACCACCAAAGCCACCAATCTCAGCATCAGCGCCAGGTCGCTTGGTGCTGGCAACAGCCTTCTTGATCTTCTCGACAAAGTCGTTTCCGGCTTGGATATCGACGCCAGCCTGGGCATAAGTCATGGAGGTCTGAGCAGTTGAGCGGAAAGCTCGGTGAGCGATATCCTTTCGGAAGAAAGCACCCTCGAAATCAATGACCTTCTGGTCAAGAGCGGCATAGGCAGCATCAACAGCAGCTCGGAGCGAGTCACCAACAGCGTTGATGGCAATGACACGACCACCAGAAGTCTTGAGACCAGTGCTGTCGAGTGTGGTACCAGCGTGGAAGATGTTGCAGCCAGCGGGAGGCGTCTGGACAGACATAGCCTTACCCTTGGGGTAAGAACCGGGGTAACCACCGGAAGCAAGGACAACAGTGGCGCTGAACTTGTTCTCAACGGTAAGCTTGCAGTTGTCGAGGTAGCCGTTGGCACAAGCAAGCATGATCTCAGCCAAATCGGTATCGGCAGAGAGAAGAGGAAGGACAGTTTGTGTTTCAGGGTCACCGAATCGGACGTTGTACTCGAGAACCTTGGGTCCCTTGCTGGTGATCATGAGACCAGTGAAGAGAACACCACGGAAAGGCTGCTGCTCTCGGCGCATACCGGAGATGGTGGGCTCTAGAATCTCACGGTCGATGAGCTCAGTAAGCTCCTTGGTAGCAATGTTTGTAGGCGCATAGCATCCCATGCCACCAGTGTTAGGGCCCTGGTCTCCATCGAAAATGCGCTTGTGGTCCTGGGCGAGAGGCAGAGATCGGATAGCGTAGCCGTCGCAGAAAGTCAGAACACTGAGCTCATCACCAATGAGAAGCTCTTCAATTACAACCTCGTCGCCAGCGTCGCCGAACTCCTTGTCAACCATGATTTGCTTCAAAGCAGCCTTGGCCTCCTCCTTGGTCTGGGGAAGGATAACACCCTTTCCAGCAGCGAGACCAGTGGCCTTGATAACAACGTCATGGTCGACGCTATCGATGTATGCAACGGCCTTGTTGTAGTCGGAGAAGTTCTCATAAGCAGCAGTGGGAACGTTGTACTTCTTCATGAAATCCTTGGAGTAGGTCTTGCTGCCCTCAAGTCGCGCAGCTTCCTTGGAGGGGCCGAAGCAGGGAATGCCAGCCTTTCGGAACCATCCCTCAACACCGTCGACGAGAGGAGCCTCAGGACCAGGAACAACGAGGTTAACGCCGTTCTCCTGAGAAAACTTGACAAGACCAGCGAAATCCTCAGCCTTGACTGAAGAAACATTTGAGGTCTTGGGGCATCCAGCAGTTCCTCCGTTACCGGGGACAGCAAAGATCTGCTCAACTCGAGAAGATTGGCTGAGCTTCCAAGCCAGGGCGTGCTCACGGCCGCCGTTACCGATGAGCAGAATTCGAAGGTCCGCCATATTGGTTCGTGAGAATATATGCGAGAAGAATCGGCACGAATGCGATTCCGAGATTCGGCGGCAAGGTCGGTCCACAGAGGTTCTCGACTCGAGGTCTTTGTATATTCTGAGAGGGTAAAAAGTCAGTATCTCATAAACACACTTGAATTTTTAATGTACTTACTTTAATTGATTCCTTTGAGAGGAACCAGCTCCGTAAAGAGACAAAAGTTGGTGGTGGTTTGAACTAGAATCGAACTGACTCTGCACTTACATAAACTTTTTCTAACTTTTCAACTGCCCCGCGCTCTGCTCTTTCCCTCAATTGAGCCCCGCGTTGTATGGACCCCCCAACCTTTCATTACGGCTTATCGTTATCGATAATGCTGACTCAGCGAGCTTGAAGCTCCCGCCCAATTCCTCCAACCAGGAGAGCACTTTGGTGAGCTTGGAAGTACGTATCCCTTTGAGTTCGACGCAAACGACGTCCTTCACTTACCACGCGCACGAATATTAAGTCATATTCCAGATCACACATAGCTCCGACCATTCTCTGATATTGATGATCTAAAGTGAAATCTACCAAATCGCCCATCATGTCTTTCGAACCCGTCATGCCTCCCTTTAACTCGAGCGATCCATCCGCCAACTTCCTCAGCTCCTCCTGTCTCGACTTTCTCCTTATTGAGCTCGTTCCCATGGCCTACCGCGTAACTCATGAGCGAGATTCTATCGCATCAGAATCAAATGGCGCACCCGCAGATACCGCCTCAACGAGCCATGCAGTAAGCTCCAGCGCAGCCGGAATAATGGCTGGCACCGCGACAAGGAAGGACGAGGAAGAGGATATGGACGCAGTGCACTATCGCCTTGAGATGTTGGGGTACAGAGTAGGGCAGGGTCTTGTAGAGAGGTGCGCATTGATGCCTGGAGTTCTCTACGCCGTCATGGCTTACATCGTAACAGATTCTCAAGAGACCGACCACGATTCAACGACACACTCGACGTCATCAAATTCCTCTGCAAAGATCTTTGGACGCTGGTGTTTGGCAAGAATATTGACAATCTGAAGACAAATCACAGAGTCTGTTTTCCTTCTCTGTTCGGTACGAGAACATTACGCTAATATTAAGCCAGGGAGTTTATGTATTGACCGACAACCTATTCCGACCCTTCTCGCGCATGAGCACAGAAGCTGGCGGCCAAGCAATCGTTCGCGCACAACCGGTATGGCCCCAGAAAGTTCCAATCTCTTCTTAGTTTGTTCTTTTATTGACTTGCTACACCCCGCAGTTCTTATGGTTCCCATGTGGTATCGTACGGGGTGCATTGGCTGCCCTTGGAATCAACACCAGTGTCCAAGCTGAAATCAACGAGTTGCCGGGTGCCGTGTTTCAGATTAAAACCATACCAAACAAGTCCTGAGGGATTTGTCTGTTTAGCTATAATACCACGATACCCTTCTACCAAGCCTGGGCACAGCACACCAAACATCCAACCATCGAGTGCCATGAATGCGCAAGAGCTAAATTTCGCCATGGTTTAGATCAATCCCCGACCAAAACTCCAATCATACCTGCAGCAGTCCCCAAGATTCATCAATATCGGGGCTATAAAGACATCGACCGTAAATCATCGCCCGGAACATTTCACAGCCTGCGCAAAGTCATATCATCAGCAATCGCGCTCATGACTCATATTACTATGTCTAGTGCCATAGCTATGGGCCTCCTCAGGAGTGTCCTTGCCTGCTCTGGAAGCCTCTTACTGGGTATTAGGGAAGATATCAAATTGGGGGTATTCACTTTTGGGGAGGGTTGTGGACAAAGCTGACACCCTTGGAGATGTTGCCCTTGAGGCCCTCGGTGGCCTTGGCCAGAAGAGCCTTCTCCTGCTCGGTGATGCCCTCCAGAGGGTTGTTGGCCTTCTCGGCACCGTTGGGCTATGTAATATTAGCACATATCCCATCTAGAAACGAAACAATCTGCCACTTACGCCGAGCTCAATGGGAACAGAGAAGAAGTCGGTACCAGTCTCCTTGGCGATGGCCTCGCCTCCAGGAATACCACCATTGGAGACCTTGGGAAGGTAGACGTAGCTAGGCTCAACGAGTCCCTTCTCGCCCTTGACGGCACGGAGAACCTTCTCGGCAAATCTGCAGTCGCGTCAGTTACTGGGTGGAGCAGTGTGAGATGTTCAGGCAACCCACCGGAAACCAGCGTAAGCCATTGAGAGAGTGGCACTGCCAGCACCATCCTTGGCCTTGACGACCTCGTCACCGCCGAACTGGACGCGGTTCACGAGAGCATCGTACTTGTCCTTAGGAATATCAACAGCAGGCGAAGCCTTGCTGAAAAGAGGGACGATGGTCTCTCCAGAGTGACCACCAATGACGGGGATGGTCAGTTCTTGGGGGTTAGCCCGGCCAGTGATCTCAGCAACGAAGGTCTCGGCACGGACGATGTCGAGGGTGGTGACACCAAAGAGACGCTGGGGGTTGAAGACGCCCTTGGCCTTGAGGACCTCAGCAGCGATAGGAACGGTAGAGTTGACGGGGTTGG